TTGACCCTTGTACTCGTCGTTGACTATTCTTGGTATATGCTTTGCATGAAAAATGATATCGATGGTGTGACCCCGGACTAGACACACCTATGTGACTGAATGTTATGTTTCTTGAAACAGAGATGTTATTCTCTCATGTAGCATCTAATTTTTCTCTTCAAGGGGAGAAGAGTTGAATTGGCTGAAATTGACGGCCAATATTTGATGATATGGAATCACCAACAACTAGTACTCCTTAGGCTTCCCAATCAATCACTAAGGAACCAACAGAGCTGAATATAGAGGAACCAAATATAGAATTGATAGAGTCTTACAATGTATCTACTGAAGCTGAACAAACACCTCCCACTTTATGCTATCCAACGACCTATCTCCGAAGAATATAGCTGAGTAAGCTCTCATGTCACTCCTAACACTACATATGTTGGTTATAAGTTATCTTTCAGGCAAAATCGTGGAAAACCCCAGAATTGATACTTTCTTGATGTAGAAGATCCAAAATTTAAATATCCAATTGCTAATTATGAGTCCTCAAAAAGGCTTTTTGAACATCTCAAGAATTTTAGTAATGAACTTTCCTCACTCTATATTCCCACAAGTGTTGATGAGGCGTTGAAGGACCCAAGGTGGGTTCAAGCCATGAAGGGATAGATGGATGAACTATCGAAAAATAAGATATAGATTCTTGTTCCGTTGCTTGAAGGTCAAAATATAGTGGGATGTAAATAGGTGTTCTCCATCAAGTACAAAGTCGATGGATCTGTTGAAAGATATAAAGTGAGGCCAATAGCAAGAGGCTATATGTAAACGTACGACATCGACTATCAAGAAACTCTGTCTCTTGTGGCCAAGCTGAATACAGTTAGGGTTTTGCTATCTCTTGTAGCCAATCTAAACTGGTCATTGCATCAATTTGATGTAAAAAATCTTTCCTCCATGGCGATATTGAAGAAGAAATTTAAATGGATGTCCCTCTAGGATATATAACAACTTCAAAAGCTAAGGTTGTTTGTAAGTTACAACGAACCTTGTATGGCTTGAAATAGTCTCCTCAAGCTTGGTTTGGACAATTTAGTTTTGCATTGGGGAGATATGGCTTCCAACAAAATAATTCTGACCATACTCTATTCCTGAAACACAACAAAGGCGAGGTGTTATAGCATTGATGGTCTATGTTGATGATATGATCGATATTAGAAATGATCCAAAAATGATAGCAAGACTAAGAAAATTTGATAATAGAGTTTGAGATGAAGGATATGGGAGACTTTAAATTTTATTTTTTTTAAGGAATTGAAGTGGCGAGATCGAAGAAGGGCATATTTCTTTCTCAACGAAAATATGTTCTAGACTTATTATCTGAGTTTGGACTATTACACTGTAAGCCCGCAGACATACCAATAGTCCAAAATCATAATAGACTTGGAGAATATCCAAACCAAATATCAACGGACAAAGGAAGGTACCAGAGTTTGGTTGGAAAACTTATTTATCTGTCACATACACGGTCGGATATTGTTTATGCGATGAGTGTAGTAAGTCAATTTATGCATTGCCCGAGTAAAGATCATATAAATGTAGTAATTAAAATCCTTTTTGATATATAAAGTCTTCTCCAGGTAGAGGACTCATTTTCTCAAGAAATGATCACTTAGGAGTTGAAGGTTATACAAATGTAGACTGGGCAAGAAACATTTCATATATAAATTTGACCTCGTGCTACTTCACATTTGTTGGAGGAAATCTGATCACATAGAAAAATAAAAAATAGAAAGTGGTGGAATTATCAAGCGCAGAAGCTGAGTTTCGTGGAATGGCTAAAGGTCTTTGTGAGTTTTTCTGGCTAACTGACTGAACTCAATTTTGCCCTAACTAATGAGATGAATTTATTTTGGGATAAAAAAGCTACCATTAGAATTTCCCAAAATCCTTTCAACATGATGGGACGAAATATGTAGAAGATCGACATTTCATCAAATAGAATCTTGAGGCAAAGATAATCTGTTTTCCATTTGTGAAGTCCGAAAACCAATTGGCAGACATACTCACAAAAGGGGTGTGTAGTAAAGTTTTCCACAACTCACTTGACAGGTTGGCCACCAGTGATATATAGCATCAACTTGAGGGGGGTGTTGGCGTGAGTTACTCCTCCAAAGCAATTGAAAGAGGATATTTAGGAATCCAATAAGGATATTTTAGATGTCCATTTCTCAATCATAGGGTTAGCTGCCTATTTCCTATTTCAGTTAAATTACGCAAATTCTTAATGATTACCGTGTTGTTCTCTAACAAAATATGGACTATAGCTCCTGTTATATATTGTCAAAATGTGTAAAGAAATCAATGAATATACAATTATTTCCTTGCAAACTGACCATTATATGAATATTCATACATGAACTTAGGGGAATATTGTTATGCTTCTTCTAGCAAGGGTCCAAGTATGGTCATTTGGCATCCACACAGCAAACAAACCTAGACCCATGCTTGGTGTGCATCCTATCTAATAACTTCTTTGATGGGATGTCGCGTGTCATTCTATGATTGGACAATTTAACAAAAGCTATTTTTCATCCAATGAACTTTTTCTAACACATTTTTCTATCAAACATGGTGGTAAAAAGTGATGTACAAATAGCAAAATCTACAAACCTGGGCATGTACTCCACATTATTTTGCCCATATGACAATTTGGTCAAACTTCCATGAAGAGGTCAAACCTCTATAGAGAGGCTGAACCCATATGAAAGGCGAGCCCCTCATGGATAAGGCAATGTAGGTAAAGCTGATGAAGAGGATCTTCTACACGTGATCTTTTAAGATTGATTGACATGACAACTCACTATACCAGTCATTATCTCAATTCAACATGTCAAGTCTAACCCCTACATGTTAGACCTAGAATTGATGGTATGATGCCTATGACATGCAGCCTCGTTAGGATGAGGCCGCATGTCCCTTCATTTAATGATAATTATTTCTCCTCTTCTACTCTAAAAGTTCACACTTAGTGTTATTTGAAAGTAATGCAAGTTTGTGCTCTCAACATACGACTTTTACAATCTTTATTTCCTATTTATAATCCTGAGATCCAAATCCCTCTCACTTAAGTGGCTTGTATCTTAAATACGTCCTACACTCAAATATTTACTCTCGTAAAGGTTGACTGATTGTCGGAGTGTGCGCAACCACCTCCCCCACTCCAAAAAAGGTCATATGTGACTCACAGTTTATTTAGGTGTGCACGATAAAGGCTTGCGTGGAGTATGAGAACTGGAGACCTGTTAGCCACATCGTTCCTATAAAAATTGAGGTCAACACTCCTAATTAATCGATTTAGTTCAAAACCAAACCGTTGATGATTCACTTGAATTCAAATCGATGATTTCATTAATAGTTTCGGCTTTATAGTTTTTAGATAGTTGTTCATATGGATGAATGTTTTTTGAGTAACAAAAATGAGAGTTAACATATAAAATAATATTATACGTAAATTCAAATTTTTTCTTAATTTTTAACCAAATGCATTATTTCTCTAAAATGAGACTCAAACAAGGGATTAAATAAGAGTGGCATTTTCTTTAATGCATTTGGATTCAATTAGATTAATTTTCCTCAGAGAATCATATAATACAGTTGAAAATATTCACGATAACATATATTTTCGCAATAAATCAAGCGAAGTGAAAATGTTCATATAGTCAATCTTAAATTCATTTAGAACAAAGATTTTGTTGTTAATTATTATATGATAATATTTGAAGTGAACTCCTCATTTGATCGTGCTAAGAAAACCAACTCAAGTCTTGTCTTTTTCAAGAAATTAGTAAAAAGAATGTTGATTAGCATAATGAACAATCTATAAGATTTAAAATATTAATTGCTTTAAATAACTAAGTTGGGGCACGGCCATACTCCTAGTCTCAATCCCAAAATAATAGTGACTCACTCCTTGTGTTGTGTGTTTGTATCCAAATAATTCACTACCCGCTTTTGACAAGAATAATGAAAAACGACTATGTGAGAATTATTCACAAGATTTTGACACAGTATAGATATCTCGAAACTTGATGATCAACTGGGTCCATATGCGAACTCACGAAGATTTTGGAGGAGTATAAGGCTTTAGTGATATTGTATAGAAATTTGTTTGCGAAAATTAAACATGAATTATATTCATCATTCTACAAGTTTGTGACATTGGTCTTAATTCTTCTCGTAGCTATTGTTATGGTCGAGAGAGCATTTTCTGCGATAGATTAATGACAAAAATTGTTTGCACAATTGAATCGGAGATTAGTGATCGATTGATAATTTGATTGCATTATATTAAGAAATTTGTATTTGACAATGCTGAAAATAATGTAATCGTGAGAAGTTATTAGTATGAGTATGTGTAGAGAGCATCATATAATATCAAATGCTTTAATTTTTTTCAATTTTTTTTTACAAGTTTGATTATACCCTCTAATTCAAAATGTCTATGTCTGCTTTCTTCTCATCATTTTAATGGAAGTTCTAACAGATAACGATAAGATTGGGATTAAAATATCAACATTTTATACTTTATTTTCTAATTTAGTTATTCACTTTCTTAAAATAATTTTATATACAATTTTGATTTAAAATATGAAGTGAAAAAAAACTAAGAGCCGGAGTGGGTTTAAGGCATGTACCATATTCTACATCCCGACCTTAATCCTTCGACAGGGTGAGATGGGTGAGGCGAGGAATTTTTTTTTTATTTTTATTTTTTTTTTACCTCTACAATTTTACTGATGTGGAACAAAATTAAGATTTCTGAGCATGCAATTGCTCTGTTTAGTAAGTTGGAGACCCAATTACACAGAGTGCAAAAGATTGAGAACCTTGCTACTATTTATTATACTCCCTACTTTTTAGTTTTTATTTTTTAAACACCTACGCCCACAAATGAAGTATTAAATGGGTCCCTTAACATTCTGTAAGGCCCACACCACTTCGACACCATTCCATTATGAAACGGGTCCATTCGCACAAGATTCACTCTCGACATATCCACCGCCCTGCTCACGCTAAGCAAATCTCGATTCTAACAGAATCTTCATTAAAGAAACAAATAATAGATTAATTCCACGAATCTATATAAATTATGAAATAAGTGGACTCCTTCACACGATCAGAGTTTTATTCGGAAGATTGTCTGAACAAAAAGCATATTGCTGATAGATTTTAGACTGTTTTCTTTTAATTTTATTCTCTGATTTCGGTTTCTCTTTCTCTTTCTAGGGTTTGCTCGGATCTCTCCACTTCTCGTACGTTTTAATGAACCCTTTTGCTGTTTCGCATTATTTGACAAATTGAATTCGTTATTGCATTCTGGGAATCATTGTGATACATACTGTATGTATTTGTTTGTGTATCTTCCTTATTGCTGTCCTGTTCTGGTTTGGCTAGAGAAAGGTATTCTAATCTGTTGATGATAAAGGATAAAATTTTGTTTTCATTTTATTTTAGTGGCTTTTTTTTTTTTGGTTGATATTGGGTCGAGCTTGTGGAAATGAGTCTACTTGTATTCCTCGAAACAATGTTTTGAGACGCGAGGTAGAATATGGATATCAATTGCTAGAGTATTTTTATCCTGCTGCTTTATTTTTGTTCATAGAATTAGAAAATAGAGTGTGATTCGGCTTGGATTGGCTGTTAACAAGCCTAGGAACATATAGAACAACTCTACATTGAAGTTCCCCCTTAAAATAATGGGTTGGCATCTTCCAAGCATGGGGATTGATATGGATAAGTTATTGTAATCTGGCAACCTTAGCTCCATGCTTTGTATGTACAAGGATGTGGAGAAGTTTGGAATTGTTATGCATGCATTTTTATTTATTCTACTCTAGTATGGGTGTGTTATTTATTACAATATCTTCTCGAGTGTTTATCTGTGAAGTACCCACTTGGTTCTGAAACATTGATATGACACAGACTAATAATTGAACAATATAACCTTTAAATTGAAAAGACTGAAATGTGGAAGGCATTACTGCAACTAAATATATCTACATTTTTTATAAAAGTTGGGAGCACAACTTGTCAATGTAACATTGGCATTATGGATTATGCATCGGCTATATTCCAATGAGCAACTCCTACTTTTCTGTGTTTCGTAATACTTAAACCCTTCTTCTTTTTGCAGTTATGAAGTGTAAGTAATGTATTAAAAGTTGTTATCACGAGTAAATTGAAAAGGCTTGTCTCATTATGCTTTTTCACTTCAATAGAAGTTTAAAAGCTGAGTTTTGCAACTTGTTTTGCAAGCATCCTGAAGAAACATGCTTTAAAGTATTGTGTAGTCACTTGTATATGGGTGCATGGTAGCCATAGTTGTGTGCAAGGTGTCGGAAAAATCAAATTTTTAATCTAATATTTTCAAATGGATTATTAGATGTGTTCTAGGTCATCTATGGGGTGTACTTTAAACTTTTAGTTGTTCATTTCATTGATTTCTTTTCTGCATTCTCAGTCTCAGTATTTTATCAAACTGTAGGTGTTTGTATTTTGTTCTCTCATTCATTGATATGTTACAAGCGTAAGAGTCCAGAAGAGTGCTTGGAAGATAAGAGGATGATGGGTGTCTATAATTATATACACAGTTCATAGGAAAATAATGTTCGGGGCTTTTGAAAAGAGATTGCTGGAATGGTTTTGATTTTTATCGAATGAGCATATTCTGCCCCAGTTTCTTCTGAGTGGCAGGACTTATGAGATTGTTTCTTGGAAATGTTATGCAAAATAGAGGTTTACGTTTATACATCTGCGAGCAGAATGTTGGAAAATAAAATTTGAACAATGGATGACCATAGAGAATCCGAAGCTCTGCTCCCCAGCTGGATTAATAAAAATCCATCTGAAATGGCTGAATCGCGTCTTTTTATTATCTCTTGCATCATTGCTGGTTTGATAGGAATTCTGACTATATTATATACTGCTTTCCAGTGGAGAAGAAATATAAACTTAAGTTGGATGAAAGCCATTGCAAAGTCAAAGAAAAACCCAAAAGCACGCGACAAAATTCCTCTGGCTCCTCATACATGGGTTTTGGAATCTGTGATTCGAGGAAAAAGTTTGAACTGCTGTGTATGCTTAAAGTCTATGTCACCTTCGCAGTCTCTTGGTCCCGCGGCAGCTTCAGACACGTTTATCCACCGTTGCAGCATATGCAGTGCATCAGCTCATTTGAGCTGCTCCTCAAATGCTCAGAAGGATTGCAAGTGCGTATCAATGTTTGGTTATGGTTATGTAATGCATCAATGGGCAGTGCGGTGGACGGAGGTGACAGACCAACCTGATGAATCTTCTTTCTGTAGCTACTGTGAAGAGCCATGCAGTGGTTCTTTTCTTGGGGGATCCCCTATATGGTGTTGTTTGTGGTGTCAACGTCTTTTGCATGTTGACTGCCATGGTAGCATGTTTAATGAAACAGGTGATATTTGTGATTTGGGCCCTTTTAGAAGGCTTGTCCTATCTCCTCTTTATGTGAAAGTTTTGAAGAGTACTGGTGGATTTTTAAGTTCCCTCACTCACGGGGCAAATGAGATTGCGTCTTCTGTACGTGCTAGCATCAGAAGTCAAAGTAAGAAGTACAAACATGGAACTGAGCCCTCTGCTGATACCGGTAATAGTAGTAATTTGAGTGTGTCGTCAGCAGAAAGCACCACTGAGACTAGTACAACAGTAAATGGGTCTCATAGCATGGAAGAAAACTGCAATCAAAATGTGAATACAGAAGGAGTGGATCAAAAACAAGATGGTGAAGCAAAAGAGATGGAGAATAAAGCCAGTTTAAAAAGAAGTTCATCAAGTAATCAGAATGGTGAAGCAAAACATATGGAGAAGAAACCCAGTTTCAAAAGAAGTTCATCACTTAATCAGAAGGATGAATTTCTAGTTGGTATGAGACAGAAATATGAACTTATTGATTTGCCTCCAGATGCAAGACCCCTGCTAGTTTTCATCAACAAAAAGAGTGGAGCTCAACGAGGGGACTCACTCAGGCACCGACTGAACATTCTTCTTAATCCTGTCCAGGTCAAAGATTTAATATTACAAGTTTTTCAGCTATTTATGAGCATGCATTACTTTATATTGATTTTCCCCATCTCTATGAGGGTGTCAAATGTGTGTTTTTTGTGTGTGTGTCTTTGTGTACACTAATGGGTTTTATCAATTAGACAAACAATCCATTCAGGGTGAGCCATGTCTGCCTAATAATGATGGAACCAGGAAGAATGATCAACCGTATTGTTTTGTCAACTGTTGTTGACTTCTAAACTTGAATTTCACGCTTTTTCCACCACCCTGAGGAGAGGAGGCAGCCATGATTTTTGGATCGTCCTCATTTTCTAATGAAATATATTAAACTTAAGTTGATGATACCTTTTATAAACTTATTCTATTGTGACTAATAATCTTGAGAAACTCGTTCAAAAAAAAAAAAAAAAAAAAAGAAGAAGAAGAAGAGAACAAACTAACTTAAAACTGGTTACATTTTGGTGAGAATAAAGTAAGTGTGGGAAGGTAGCACTTTTGAACTTTCTCCATCAATGAATTTCCAAGTGAAGTAAAAAACATAGCCATTGATGCTCCAAATTTAGTTGCCTTCGTGCAACCCAAGGTGAATTAGAGATGTAGATAAATCCCATCTTGATTGCTTCTGCACGTATATGGGATTGTACCTCAGATCAAACTTGCTTAGTAGTCTCCAATTGTTGGTGATTAGGAGATTGAATTATTGGACTCAACCGTCTCAAAGGATAGATAGAAATGAACCCACCTTTTACTTTTTGACAGAACTTTATGCAAACTTTTATTTACTGTGGGGTGTTTTGTCTACCTCATCCTGATTTTTTGAATTAACTTTTAATTCTAGGTTTTTGAGTTAAGCTCGACGCAGGGTCCAGAAGTTGGTCTATATTTGTTTAGAAATGTTCCACACTTCAGAATCCTTGTTTGTGGTGGCGATGGTACTGTTGGCTGGGTATTAAATGCCATAGACAAGCAGAACTTTGTTTCTCCTCCCCCTGTAGCTATTCTTCCTGCAGGAACTGGAAATGATTTGGCTCGAGTACTTTCCTGGGGGGGCGGTTTGGGCACGGTTGACAGACAAGGAGGACTTTGCATGCTTTTGCATCACATAGAACATGCTGCAGTTACCATCCTTGATCGGTGGAAGATATCAATTTCAAACCAGCAGGGAAAACTACTCCAAGAGCCGAAGTTTATGAACAACTATCTTGGTAAGTTGGTAAATAGATAGATTTCAACTAGACCAGTTTACATGTGTTTGTAAAACATTAATAAAGCGTTTTCAATGTGCCTTAAAGATGTTTGACACTAATATTCAGTTAGCTCATGGTTTGCATAAATTGTCAGTGTGAAATTTACCATTTTTGGTGCTGAACAATGTTTAGTTTATATGCTCCCAGATGGCCAGATTATATTCCAGATTATAGTCTTACATATTTTTGTTGAGATGGCATCTTCTGGAAGGGCGAGAAGTGATTTAGTCTGACTCTAAATCTTTGATTTAACTAGTCAATAGAAGGAAGTCTGTGCTTAAGGCTCCTGCCACCAAGGTATCAATGGAGGTCTAGTGTCGGCAGCTCTGGATAGAGCTACTATGACACTTCTCGTTTACTCAGAGTTCAACTTATGGTTTATAGCCAATCCGACTCAAATTTAGGTTCCCTTCACATGAGTTGCCGTATCCAAGCGAACAACAGATTACATTTTTGAGCCTCCATGATTTTTTTTTATTATTTTTTATTTTTTTATTTTTTTTGGAGAATAAATCATATTTATTAGGGAACAATGCTAGAGTGGAAGGTAAGAGCTTCTACATATCCATCCTTTCCTTTTTTTGTTGGGCGTGGGTGTCTGGGTGGGGATGATTTTATCTATTTCCAAATTTGAAGTCCTAACTTGATTCCTACAATTATTCGAGTAAAAGGTCAAAGCTTTATGTTTGTAAGCCTTTTCAACTGTACACCTAGGAGTATGATACAGAGTGAATGGTTAGCAATCTTGCAAAATATCACTATATAGGGTAAAATTGATTTGCCCAAGTGCAAACTCAGATATAAATGACTAGGATAGACAAAATTACATCTTCAACTTGATACACTCGCCCTCTCGCACAGACATGGACACACACAAGCACTCAGAGAGAGTTTTACAAACTGTGGTACTTCTTTCTGGCTTTCTTGTTCCTGTCCAAGACTATCTCCAAGAGAAATATGATCAAAGCTGACTATTTCTTATCTATGATCTCCCTTCTTGCCTTTTGGGTCAGAATCTGAAACTCTAGTCGATGCAAACAAATTCTGTTCTAACAAAAACTAGATCTCTTGAAAACAATACTGAACTCACATATAGTTCATGTGCATAAAAACCAGAAACTGATGACTTCCTAGCAAGAGGAAAATGCTAAGACATCAGGATTATTCATTTGATCTTGGAGAGAAGAAGTGATTTTGTGGCCGGAATTTGCTCTATCCGAGCACTTGGTCAGAATATGGAGGAAGGCAATTTACTGTTTTCTCTGTTCTTCTTTATCTTGAGAATAGCGAATAGGTGAAAAATTATGATCGCATTCATATTGTGGGGAAAAAATACAAGTTTTGGATTTCTCTATTGATGTGTCTGGAATTTCCTATCCCAGACACGGATAGAGATAATCTGTGCAATCAGTAGTTACTACTTTCCGCTGTTATTGATCCTGAGATGAGCAAATTAGGATAAGTGAGTATGAACTCGTAACATATTAGAGAAAATTAAAAACAGGGGAGGTATCTGGTCATGTCTGGATTTCCTGTTCCAACGAGTGACAGCTAATAATTGCAGTCTGAAGTCACATGAAGCCATGCTCTTTTGGGCTGTTTGGTCTCACTTATTGAGCAGTAAATAATCGTTTTGGAGGACAGAAACACATATTTATGTTTCTTCGGGATATATTTCTGTGTGTATGGCTAGGGGTTGGCTTTAAAGGAAGATATATCCTATGGGAAAGAACCTATATAATTTCTTTGCCTAATTTAAGCATGCAACCTTGTGTATATTTGCTTGATATCTTATCATTATGTAGTGTTGGTATTCGTTATGGCTCTTGTTATTGTAGGAGTTGGATGTGATGCAAAGGTTGCTCTCGAGATCCATAATCTGAGGGAGGAGAACCCAGATAAGTTTTACAATCAGGTACAATGATGTTTTTTATTTTCTTCCTTCCGTTGTGATTTAGAGTGCCAGATGGGTATTTTGGATGGACAGTTTTCAAATATGTTTGCCAGAACAGATGCATTTATGGATGACTTGTGTCTTTGTCTAGCATAGTCTAAGCTTCAGTCTTGAATTAATCAAGTGGCTTTTTTTAATATTTCTTTTTAATGGTAGCAAATGGCCTTGTGACTTTATGCGTAGTCATTTATGTTAATTTAACAGTTTGATGTAGACACTTGGAAAATATTGAGAAGCAGATTTCAATGTTTATGTTGCTCTTTTAATTTGTGCACTGCAGCTATATACACTTTAAGATGTCATAAATGACCACTTTTTGCCCCTTCTTTCATTTAATAAAATTTTAAACAATTGAGCATCTTTCTGAAATGTTCAGTGGAACCTTTTTGTCAGTCTTGTTCAGAGTACAAACTAGGATTATGGAATTCCATCTTTCCTCCAAAATGTTATTTTATTTAGCTTCCCCCTCAATTTGCCTAATGATAGTTCTTTTTTTTTTTCTTTTTTTTTCTGCTGCCACCATTACTGCAGTTCATGAATAAAGTTCTTTATGCAAGAGAAGGTGCCAAGAGTATAATGGATAGGACTTTTGCAGACTTCCCTTGGCAAGTACGCTTGGAGGTTGATGGCGTCGAGATTGAGGTTCCTGAGGTGGGTTTAATAGATTTTTGTGAGCTAAATATGGCGATAAATTGTAGTATGAATCTGCTTCTCTGAACTTATTTGTATTTGTCACTTGGAATAATTAATCTTTCAAATTGCACACGCTACTCCATTTCATTTTTCCCTTAATTGTTGATGGTTTTCTTTCATTCTTATTGATGTTAAATTTGTATTTGTGTATCAATTTCTTAGATATTAATATTTATTTTGCTCACCCATCACCCACCACTGTTCTAACAATTAAATTCAACCTATCTCGCTAAAAATATGGTTCATTTTTAATTAATTCAGGATGCAGAGGGTGTCCTTTTAGCTAATATTGGAAGCTACATGGGTGGTGTAGACTTGTGGCAGAATGAAGATGAGAGCTATGATAATTTCGATCCCCAATCCATGCACGATAAAGTGCTTGAGGTTGTCAGTATTTCAGGTACATGGCACCTTGGAAAGCTTCAGGTATGTTTGTTCAAATGCTTACAGACAATATGGATGTCGTCAGTTAATTTTTTTTCATGTTGTTACTGTGAAAATTCAGTGGTAATTTAATCAGTTGAGCGAATGTGAGACATGCTTTAGAGCATATATGCTTTTCTCAGCAGATTATTTCAATCAAATTGATAGAAGTATCCAAAAAAGAGGTCAAGATCGCCAGAGTTCTTATAAATTGTTCTTTGTTTTTTTACTACAGGAACCTGTTGATGTTCTGAATAAAAGAATTTTTGAGATATATTTATTGTTCAGATTAGGACCATCCACTACTGAATTGGGGTTTCAGTTTTCTCTTAATGGAAAGCCAGTTTACAGTATATGTTTCTGTGGACAGGTGGGTCTATCTCGAGCTCGTAGGCTGGCACAGGGGCAGTCAATTAAGATTCAGCTTTTTGCTGGTTTGCCTGTTCAAGTAGATGGGGAACCATGGTTTCAACATCCTTGTACATTGACTATATCACATCATGGGCAGGTTTAATGCTCTCTCGCCCTCCCTTTCTTTACTCTGCACCCGCAAAATTAGTGATAAAGTAACTAAATAACTAAAAGCAGAGTAGAAGCTATTGGTTAAAGGCTGGAAACATTGAAAGGGCAGCACAATCATTTGGATCACTGATTAGTGCCTCTTAAATGAGGCAGTATTCTACGTGGGACAAGTCCCCTGTTTTATGAAATTGTTGATGGCTATGGTCAACTGTTTAGTACAGCATTTTCCTCATGGATCTATATTTGTGATTTACGTATAAGATGTCATATTCTGTGAACATGGAGATGTATAACATCCGTGTTTTCTGCTTTGTGTGATTCGTACTAGGCCTTCATGCTGAAAAGAGCAGCAGAGGAACCTCTTGGTCATGCGTCTGCCATAATTGCTGATGTCCTCGAGAACGCTGAAACCAACCACGTGATTAATGCAACTCAGAAAAGGGCATTGCTTCAAGAAATGGCACTTAGACTATCCTAGAGGCTTACTTCGTGGTTTTGTATCACCACCTTTTCTTCATTGCCTATCCACTGTTTCGTGTGTAATGTTGACGAAAAGGAAACCAAGTGCTTCTAGCTGAAACTTGTTGTACATGAAACCTTGATTATCATCAAGGTAAGGAGAGGCAAATTTTGGTGGCTGCGTTATATGTAGAGAAATGCATTATGTATACTTCTTTAGAGTGCGTTTGATTTGCCGATTTGAGGTCGTTTTCAGTTTTGAAATACTCAAAACATGTTTTGTATTTTATTCTCAAAAATGAAAGCAAGGAAAATTTTACACCATAAAACGAAAAATTGTCTCTTGGAAAAAACTCAACAAGGAAAATGAATTTAAAAAAATTTCAAATTAAAATAAATAATAAAATCACACAAAGCCTACCTAAATACAACTTTAAAATTTATATATTTTTTTATTACATATTAGCATAAAATTGATATGTCTTACAAAACAATCAAATTAATTAGCATAAAATTGATACGTCTTACAAAATAATCAAATTAATTGAAAAAAAAAAGTCATAAAACTATTTTTAAAATTTTTAAAACCGAATGTGTTTTCTATTATTTTGTTTTGAAAAAGTTTCTCAGAGAGACAATTTTTCGGAATGACAAACTAAACGTTTTTTCTGCTTTCAAAATAAAAAAATAGAAAAGCAAATCAAATGCAACCTTAACGATTGGTTAGGACTTGGTTGCTAATCGTGTCTATGAAATGAGTCACTTAAGAATTTGGCATGAGTTATGGAATCAGAGCCAGAGATGGGTTGAAAGATGAAGTTGACCAATTTGGTCTGTTTGAAAAGTTAGATGAGTGGTGTGAAAAGTCGGATTGCATTCTATAGGGCGATTGTCTTGTGGTGCAGATTCCTCCCTTCTTAGGTCTAAAGTCTATGCGAGGGGAGTCCTCAAGCGATACTGTAGTGAATTAATTTTGTTTCATTTTGCATGAAAGGTGAACTCAAGTTGTAATAGGAGTGGACCATGTTCCTTGTTTCTGCACTGCTGCTTGGCAAGACGGGATGGAGCAGGACAGGATGGGAAGACTCGTGGTAGGATTTGGGTGAGATATTTTATCATCACTATATAACTTAGAGGCTCGAGCAGTAGACTTAAATGGTTGCTCATGTAGGATGTCTATATTATAGTATTAGAATAGAGAGATTCAAAGATGGGAAAGAGTTTGAATTGTTCCTTTATAAAAAAAAAAAAATTCTAACGAGCATCATTATATTTACTACATTCTAGCTATTTTATACGATTGACAGGCATTGTGGCTACTTTATATGCTTGAAGAAGTTGGTGAATAAAAAAAAAAAAAAATTTGATTTTTTAATAATTACTTGAACTAAAAACGCCATCTGATGTCATAAGGAAAACAAAATAAAAAGTTAGAAATCAATTTAGCCTTCATTTGACAACATTTAAATTATTCATAAATTGTCTAATTTTATTTTCAATCACAATTTAAATGAATTCACCAATAGTATTCAGTTATCCACTCTTCATGTCTCTTTATGTATGAATAAACTGTTTATAAATTCTTCTCAAACGGATGCTAGTTTATTTTGAAACTACAAACAAAAATACTACCTAAATAATAGATAAGGACCTTGGCTGCTATTTTTCCTGTCATGTAATAATATCTGAAAAAATGACACATGTACTAAGAGCTTGTTTGGTACAAATTTTAAGTTAATTAAAGTCAATTTTTTTACTATTATTTCACTATTTCAGTTGTCATTTTTGAATTTTTCTTTCACATGTAGGATTCAATTTATCTCTAACGGTCAAAAATTAATTATCAAAATTCCTATCAAACATACACTAAGTTTGATTTAAACAAAAGAGTAACCATGTTCGATGCCCATTTATGGAAGGGGTGAAAATGTATCCACTTACAACAAATAAAATAAATAACGCTTATTCGAAAAATTTTCATTAATCTTCTAGCACTCTCATTCAATTACATCATAGTTTTTCTCAATCCTTTTACTAGTTTCGCCGCCTATTATTAATTAAATCTAGAAAATCCATCAAATTGCTCCAAATTTCCAACCATAACCTTTAAGGCAAGCAAGCTACTCTATTTCAATTCATTATTTTTGGCTTAATATGCGATTTTATTTTATTTTATTTATTATTATTATTTTGGAATCTCCAAGTCTCTCAATTTTGAATTAAATTGAAATTCTAGTGACTAAATTGAGACAAAATAAACCTGAGTGATCAACTTGAAATTTAGCCAAGACTTTAATGACCAAAGGTGCATTTTACCCGTTTGGGCACCCCTTCTTACAATCTGTATTTTTGATGTCCTCTTCCCGATTTTCTTCCTCTGCGCAACGGGTTTTACAATTTCTGCTTCCGGTAATCGCTGTATTGTGAATCCTTTTTACGATTCGCGGTATCAGTAATTGCCAATAAGGTAACTTATTTAAATTTCTGTTCGCTTTTATACTTGCCGCTTGATGACTGTCTTTTTAATTGTGTTCATAAATTGCATTTGTGAATGATTCTTTCTCCCTCTAATTGGTATATTATTGAATTTATTACTATGGTATAGTTAATGAGTTGGGCGTTCTTACCCCTTTTTGCTTAGTATTGGGTCTCTGAAAGATGGGTTTCAATTTAAAGCTAATTAGGAGTTTCCAATCCAGTTGAGACATTTTTGTTTAATTTCATATTAATTGTTAAGTGTACTATTTAGTTCTATTTATGTATTAATTTATTCCCTTTAGGCTGTCTAGTAAGAAAATTAAAGATAAGTGAGAATTATCATTTCATGTTTTACAAGAAAGAACACACACGTTTTTACAAGAAAGAACACACACGTTCCTCAATTCATCCTTATCCCTATACGAGTTGATGTAAATTAAATAATGATCATAGGTTACAGAACTGGCACCTTCCTAAAATCCAGATGCAATTTGCTGCTGTAATCCCATGTATTCAGCATACATCAAGGGGATAACGACTCATTCCTTCTTATGCAGACTGATGGATAATGGCACATTCCTTTAGCCTGTAAATTGATTGATGACTAATGCCTCTTCATTCTTCCGGGATCATATAGTACTTAATTTTATGTTGATTATGCAGATTTGTCTGATTTGACATGAATTATATTGGCTGTGATTTTCTCATAAACAATAAAGCTATTTTTTAATGTTCCAAAATGCTAGGGTTTTTTATAATATGGTTGTAATAACTCACATAACACAAAGCTGTATTTAACAGTTCATGTATAATATATTTACTCTAATATATTCAGAATGTCGAACATTGAGTGTTTGTCTCTATTATTATATTCAGAGTACGTAGGTTAACCTGAGCTTTTTGACCTTTTGCTTTTCTATCAATACAGTGAAAAATGGTGGATTTGACGACATGGGTTTCAGATAAACTGATGTCTCTTTTGGGGTATTCTTAACCAACTGTTGTTCAATATGCGATAACCTTATGTAAGTTTTCTTTAACAAATACCTGTATTACGTACAATGCTTATTATGGGTATGTGGCAGCTATTGTCATACATGTATTTTCATTGGGAATTCTTTTTTATTTTCTTCTCTGTTTTACTGCAGCTAAAAAAGCTTCATCGCCTTCTGAGATTGTCAATCAACTGATAGATCTGGGAATCTCATCTTCTGATCAAACACGTTTGTTTGCCCAAGAAATTTTCACTAGAGTTGAGCATAAGACTTCCGGACCAAATGTTAGTGTTTATTGGAATTCTAGTATTTCAAATTCATATTAATAGATATCATTATTTTTAAATATATATTATTATTCTATCCTTATATTGTTATATATGCTGGGTTGGTATAGCTATACCAACGACAAGAAAGGGAAGCGATGATGCTGGTGCGAAAGCAGAAGACTTACCCACTTTTGGAGGATGATGACGACAATGAAGATACTGTTTCAGTGGCTTCCCAGTCAAAAAAGGAGGACTCTCATAACAAAAAGTTTAGGAAGAGGAGTGAAACTCAGAATGACTCAGATGACGAGGCATATATCTTATACACTTACTGCTAGAGTTTGGTTTTGTTTCTTATGGTAAGCTTCTTCATTGGTGCTGCTTGTATTGACAAGATACTTTGTTTTGATTGAATGTGATTATGCAGGTAGTAGGAAATGGTGAAGAAGAAAAGGCGAGTAAAAAGACGAACTTCTGAGGATGAAGATGATGCGTCTTATAAAGAACTTGAACGAGCATATATTGTTAGGTCGAACCCGAAGGTCCATTGGCAATTCATATATAAATTACTGAATATAAAAGTATACGGAAATGGACCACCTGTACAAAAGTATCTTATATTGATTTGATAAGAAGAATTTTTGAAAGACAAAATCCAAAATTTCGTTCCAAATCTTTACTTTTTCCTCCCCTTCTCTTTCTCTGCCGTGACTATGTTTATTTTCTGTGGTGAAATAATGAGAATTCTTACAGTATTTATAGTTGTAATTCTCAATAGAGTTTGTATGCAACTAGAATTAGAAAATCGTATAATACGTGGAATTTGAATAAGAATTGGTTTTAAGTATAAAATTAGGATAGGAATGGGTTTTACTTTATAGAGTATACTAGTCAACCGATTCTAATCATATAGTTATTTTAAAATGGGACACATGGAAGAATTGGAATTTAGTTGCGTTTGACTTGGAATACCACCGTTAGAAAAGTAGAAAGAGTAATGGAATTTCTGTTAAAATAGGTTTAGAATTTATCATTATCAAAATCAACTAATGAGTTTGTAGAATTTATCTTCATCAAAATCAACTTATGATTAAACTTTATCAAAATCAAGTTAAGATTAAAATCAGAACGTTACATGCATATACACGTGGCTTTAAATCATAAAATAACTTAATCAATTAATATTTAATCTTGTTTACTCTAAATTGGATCTAACTTATTTGAATTAACTTTTTCTCGAGTTATAAAATGAATCCAATATTGATATACTAAAACTCGCTCAATCAAAATAATTACTTGGCCCAAATAAAATTAAAATTAATAATATTTTACTATAATCCTTAAACTTCCAAAATTATATAAAAAAAATCTAGAACAAATAATTTTATTTGATAAAATTTTCGTGGTGTTACAATCCTCTTTTTTCTTTTTATTTTTTTCATTAACTTGTCTTTTTATGCTGTCCATTCTCATGGAGTTAGAAGACAAAATTATGTACCTTGGTCATGGGAATTG